CTGTCCAGCTTCATGGCGGAGTTGTCCTCGGTGCGGTCAGAACTTCTGGGCTTTCTGACGCACGCTCTGCTGGGGGACGGCCTGGCTGCAGAGTATCTCATCTTCCACCTCATCTCCACCGTGTGAGTATTGTCCGCGTCCTCGCACTGCGCACTACATGGGCCCCTCTGACCGTCGCCCTTGGGACCCCTCTGACCGTCGCCCTTGGGACCCCTCTGACCGTCGCCCTTGGGACCCCTCTGACCGTCGCCCTTGGGACCCCTCTGACCGTCGCCCTTGGGACCCCTCTGACCCTCGCCCGGGGGACCCCTCTGACCCTCGCCCGGGGGACCCCTCTGACCCTCGCCCGGGGGACCCCTCTGACCCTCGCCCGCGGGACCCCTCTGACCCTCGCCCGCGGGACCCCTCTGACCCTCGCCCGCGGGACCCCTCTGACCCTCGCCCGCGGGACCCCTCTGACCCTCGCCCGCGGGACCCCTCTGACCCTCGCCCGCGGGACCCCTCTGACCCTCGCCCGCGGGACCCCTCTGACCCTCGCCCGCGGGACCCCTCTGACCCTCGCCCGCGGGACCCCTCTGACCCTCGCCCGCGGGACCCCTCTGACCCTCGCCCGCGGGACCCCTCTGACCCTCGCCCGCGGGACCCCTCTGACCCTCGCCCGCGGGACCCCTCTGACCCTCGCCCGCGGGACCCCTCTGACCCTCGCCCGCGGGACCCCTCTGACCCTCGCCCGCGGGACCCCTCTGACCCTCGCCCGCGGGACCCCTCTGACCCTCGCCCGCGGGACCCCTCTGACCCTCGCCCGCGGGACCCCTCTGACCCTCGCCCGCGGGACCCCTCTGACCCTCGCCCGCGGGACCCCTCTGACCCTCGCCCGCGGGACCCCTCTGACCCTCGCCCGCGGGACCCCTCTGACCCTCGCCCGCGGGACCCCTCTGACCCTCGCCCGCGGGACCCCTCTGACCCTCGCCCGCGGGACCCCTCTGACCCTCGCCCGCGGGACCCCTCTGACCCTCGCCCGCGGGACCCCTCTGACCCTCGCCCGCGGGACCCCTCTGACCCTCGCCCGCGGGACCCCTCTGACCCTCGCCCGCGGGACCCCTCTGACCCTCGCCCGCGGGACCCCTCTGACCCTCGCCCGCGGGACCCCTCTGACCCTCGCCCGCGGGACCCCTCTGACCCTCGCCCGCGGGACCCCTCTGACCCTCGCCCGCGGGACCCCTCTGACCCTCGCCCGCGGGACCCCTCTGACCCTCGCCCGCGGGACCCCTCTGACCCTCGCCCGCGGGACCCCTCTGACCCTCGCCCGCGGGACCCCTCTGACCCTCGCCCGCGGGACCCCTCTGACCCTCGCCCGCGGGACCCCTCTGACCCTCGCCCGCGGGACCCCTCTGACCCTCGCCCGCGGGACCCCTCTGACCCTCGCCCGCGGGACCCCTCTGACCCTCGCCCGCGGGACCCCTCTGACCCTCGCCCGCGGGACCCCTCTGACCCTCGCCCGCGGGACCCCTCTGACCCTCGCCCGCGGGACCCCTCTGACCCTCGCCCGCGGGACCCCTCTGACCCTCGCCCGCGGGACCCCTCTGACCCTCGCCCGCGGGACCCCTCTGACCCTCGCCCGCGGGACCCCTCTGACCCTCGCCCGCGGGACCCCTCTGACCCTCGCCCGCGGGACCCCTCTGACCCTCGCCCGCGGGACCCCTCTGACCCTCGCCCGCGGGACCCCTCTGACCCTCGCCCGCGGGACCCCTCTGACCCTCGCCCGCGGGACCCCTCTGACCCTCGCCCGCGGGACCCCTCTGACCCTCGCCCGCGGGACCCCTCTGACCCTCGCCCGCGGGACCCCTCTGACCCTCGCCCGCGGGACCCCTCTGACCCTCGCCCGCGGGACCCCTCTGACCCTCGCCCGCGGGACCCCTCTGACCCTCGCCCGCGGGACCCCTCTGACCCTCGCCCGCGGGACCCCTCTGACCCTCGCCCGCGGGACCCCTCTGACCCTCGCCCGCGGGACCCCTCTGACCCTCGCCCGCGGGACCCCTCTGACCCTCGCCCGCGGGACCCCTCTGACCCTCGCCCGCGGGACCCCTCTGACCCTCGCCCGCGGGACCCCTCTGACCCTCGCCCGCGGGACCCCTCTGACCCTCGCCCGCGGGACCCCTCTGACCCTCGCCCGCGGGACCCCTCTGACCCTCGCCCGCGGGACCCCTCTGACCCTCGCCCGCGGGACCCCTCTGACCCTCGCCCGCGGGACCCCTCTGACCCTCGCCCGCGGGACCCCTCTGACCCTCGCCCGCGGGACCCCTCTGACCCTCGCCCGCGGGACCCCTCTGACCCTCGCCCGCGGGACCCCTCTGACCCTCGCCCGCGGGACCCCTCTGACCCTCGCCCGCGGGACCCCTCTGACCCTCGCCCGCGGGACCCCTCTGACCCTCGCCCGCGGGACCCCTCTGACCCTCGCCCGCGGGACCCCTCTGACCCTCGCCCGCGGGACCCCTCTGACCCTCGCCCGCGGGACCCCTCTGACCCTCGCCCGCGGGACCCCTCTGACCCTCGCCCGCGGGACCCCTCTGACCCTCGCCCGCGGGACCCCTCTGACCCTCGCCCGCGGGACCCCTCTGACCCTCGCCCGCGGGACCCCTCTGACCCTCGCCCGCGGGACCCCTCTGACCCTCGCCCGCGGGACCCCTCTGACCCTCGCCCGCGGGACCCCTCTGACCCTCGCCCGCGGGACCCCTCTGACCCTCGCCCGCGGGACCCCTCTGACCCTCGCCCGCGGGACCCCTCTGACCCTCGCCCGCGGGACCCCTCTGACCCTCGCCCGCGGGACCCCTCTGACCCTCGCCCGCGGGACCCCTCTGACCCTCGCCCGCGGGACCCCTCTGACCCTCGCCCGCGGGACCCCTCTGACCCTCGCCCGCGGGACCCCTCTGACCCTCGCCCGCGGGACCCCTCTGACCCTCGCCCGCGGGACCCCTCTGACCCTCGCCCGCGGGACCCCTCTGACCCTCGCCCGCGGGACCCCTCTGACCCTCGCCCGCGGGACCCCTCTGACCCTCGCCCGCGGGACCCCTCTGACCCTCGCCCGCGGGACCCCTCTGACCCTCGCCCGCGGGACCCCTCTGACCCTCGCCCGCGGGACCCCTCTGACCCTCGCCCGCGGGACCCCTCTGACCCTCGCCCGCGGGACCCCTCTGACCCTCGCCCGCGGGACCCCTCTGACCCTCGCCCGCGGGACCCCTCTGACCCTCGCCCGCGGGACCCCTCTGACCCTCGCCCGCGGGACCCCTCTGACCCTCGCCCGCGGGACCCCTCTGACCCTCGCCCGCGGGACCCCTCTGACCCTCGCCCGCGGGACCCCTCTGACCCTCGCCCGCGGGACCCCTCTGACCCTCGCCCGCGGGACCCCTCTGACCCTCGCCCGCGGGACCCCTCTGACCCTCGCCCGCGGGACCCCTCTGACCCTCGCCCGCGGGACCCCTCTGACCCTCGCCCGCGGGACCCCTCTGACCCTCGCCCGCGGGACCCCTCTGACCCTCGCCCGCGGGACCCCTCTGACCCTCGCCCGCGGGACCCCTCTGACCCTCGCCCGCGGGACCCCTCTGACCCTCGCCCGCGGGACCCCTCTGACCCTCGCCCGCGGGACCCCTCTGACCCTCGCCCGCGGGACCCCTCTGACCCTCGCCCGCGGGACCCCTCTGACCCTCGCCCGCGGGACCCCTCTGACCCTCGCCCGCGGGACCCCTCTGACCCTCGCCCGCGGGACCCCTCTGACCCTCGCCCGCGGGACCCCTCTGACCCTCGCCCGCGGGACCCCTCTGACCCTCGCCCGCGGGACCCCTCTGACCCTCGCCCGCGGGACCCCTCTGACCCTCGCCCGCGGGACCCCTCTGACCCTCGCCCGCGGGACCCCTCTGACCCTCGCCCGCGGGACCCCTCTGACCCTCGCCCGCGGGACCCCTCTGACCCTCGCCCGCGGGACCCCTCTGACCCTCGCCCGCGGGACCCCTCTGACCCTCGCCCGCGGGACCCCTCTGACCCTCGCCCGCGGGACCCCTCTGACCCTCGCCCGCGGGACCCCTCTGACCCTCGCCCGCGGGACCCCTCTGACCCTCGCCCGCGGGACCCCTCTGACCCTCGCCCGCGGGACCCCTCTGACCCTCGCCCGCGGGACCCCTCTGACCCTCGCCCGCGGGACCCCTCTGACCCTCGCCCGCGGGACCCCTCTGACCCTCGCCCGCGGGACCCCTCTGACCCTCGCCCGCGGGACCCCTCTGACCCTCGCCCGCGGGACCCCTCTGACCCTCGCCCGCGGGACCCCTCTGACCCTCGCCCGCGGGACCCCTCTGACCCTCGCCCGCGGGACCCCTCTGACCCTCGCCCGCGGGACCCCTCTGACCCTCGCCCGCGGGACCCCTCTGACCCTCGCCCGCGGGACCCCTCTGACCCTCGCCCGCGGGACCCCTCTGACCCTCGCCCGCGGGACCCCTCTGACCCTCGCCCGCGGGACCCCTCTGACCCTCGCCCGCGGGACCCCTCTGACCCTCGCCCGCGGGACCCCTCTGACCCTCGCCCGCGGGACCCCTCTGACCCTCGCCCGCGGGACCCCTCTGACCCTCGCCCGCGGGACCCCTCTGACCCTCGCCCGCGGGACCCCTCTGACCCTCGCCCGCGGGACCCCTCTGACCCTCGCCCGCGGGACCCCTCTGACCCTCGCCCGCGGGACCCCTCTGACCCTCGCCCGCGGGACCCCTCTGACCCTCGCCCGCGGGACCCCTCTGACCCTCAGTTTCCTGTTTGGCAGGTACGCTCGGAGGGATGTGCTGCCGCTGGGGAAGTTCTCTCTGAATCTGAGCGGCTGTCCTCGGAGTGGAGACTACGCGCAGCACTTGTACCGCGTGGTGGAGCAGCTGGTGCCGGCGGTAAGATGGCGGCTTCCTCTCTCAGATACGTTGATGATGTCGTACATCCGTCCGCTGCACATAGACATCTTCTTGTCTTTCTTTGCTCGCAGTCCTATTACCTCCCGATGACCATTGAGAACATGAACGGCCTTCGCTTCATCCCCCAGAAGGATTACACCGCCAACCGCCTGCTGAGCGGCGTCCTGCAGCTCTCCTCTCACACGTCGCTATTGGTGGATGAGACTCTGCTGGAGCAGGGCCAGCTGGACACCAAGGGTCAGTGTATGAAAGGGTTAATGTGGCCAGAGATCCCTATATTCCCATGTGTACCTCCCTCATCTAGTGTCTGCCTCCCCCCCCCACCCCGTTCAGGCAGGTGACAAAATGGTGATCATAATGCATGCCGATCCCTCCTCACTGCTGACCGGCCGATCGCTGCCATGTCTTCATATTTCATGTTCCACGTCACTGGAAGGTTTCCTGAGCCCCCGGATGTGTGTGCGCGCACCGACACTTCCAAGTCACCGACGAATGTGAAACGCATGATTAGGTTTTCCCAGCGCGCTGCCGGCACAGATCCCTCTGCAGTGGGCCGATCACGCGGGTCGCCGCTCTAGTAGATGATTGGGGATCCCGCCTTTTCTTTAACCCCTTCGTGACGGGAGACGTACGGTGTACGTCCTGTCACTTTGTGCCTATGTGACTGGCCACGTACACTGTACGCGACCAGTTCTATCGGGCTTTGTAATGCCGGTAACCGCTAATTCTCATTCATTAATGTCTCAGTATTGAGGCATTAATTAACCCCTTCATGACTGAGGCCCTTTTTTCATTTTTTGCACCCATGTTATATTCCACATTTTAGGCCTGAAAATTTACGTAAAACCCCCCAACATAATATATTTTCTGAATGCCAAGACCCTATAGAATAAAATGGTGGTAGTTGAACATTTTTATGTTGCGCAATATTAGCGCAACTCCTTATTAAACCCCAAAATTTTGTGACAAATTTAATTAAATGCCCCAAAACACAACAAATTACCCATTTTTTTAATGAAATATAAAAGATGAGGTTACAACGAGTAAAACGATACCCAACATGCCCAGTTTACAGATTGCGTGCGACCGTGAAACGGCGAAAAACTGCAGTACCCCAAAAAGTCAATAAAAGACGCTTTAAAAGCCCCCACAGGTCATCAATTTAGAGATACCCCAAAATACTGGCCCTAGAATTATTGCTCTCACTCCGGCGTGCGCGGCGATACCCAACATGTGTAGCGCGTTCGTCGTTTTCATGCGTAGGCGCACCCGACGCGTGTTTACGTGG